ACCCTCAGATAAACCATATATAAAAATAAAAAAATTAACATTTCAAAATTAATTTTGAAATTTTCTGGCAATTCTAAAAGAAGGTTGTGGCACACTGGTTAAGAACTATTCATCTATATGATGAATTGAAGTCTTTAATAAAAATAAAATGGAAAGTCTCATTCTTTTCAAGACGACAAAAAACTCTTGACTCCTTTTCAATTTGAATTTTAACTTTAAGTCAACATATAATACAGAAGTCTTTATTACATTCATTTGAATCCAATAACAAATACATTTGTGTACTTTATGCATTATCTAATCAGTATGCTTACTACATTCACATGTCCATTATAGCCAACATGTTAAGAAACAAATACAGTATGCTATATATTTATTATATTATAATTTATAAATTATAATATAATAAATATATAGCATACTGTATTTGTTTCTTAACATGTTGGCTATAATGGACATGTGAATGTAGTAAGCATACTGATTAGATAATGCATAAAGTACACAAATGTATTTGTTATTGGATTCAAATGAATGTAATAAAGACTTCTGTATTATATGTTGACTTAAAGTTAAAATTCAAATTGAAAAGGAGTCAAGAGTTTTTTGTCGTCTTGAAAAGAATGAGACTTTCCATTTTATTTTTATTAAAGACTTCAATTCATCATATAGATGAATAGTTCTTAACCAGTGTGCCACAACCTTCTTTTAGAATTGCCAGAAAATTTCAAAATTAATTTTGAAATGTTAATTTTTTTATTTTTATATATGTGTAAAAGGCATCTTAAATGTGACACTGGATTACTGATAGGTACTCCACAAAAATTGTATATATTAGTAGCTCATAAAAGCTAAGAACTACTGATGCACACTGTTTTTAATTATACCTTAATTAAATAATAAAATGAATTAAAATATTCTTGTTATTATGTTAATTCCATATCATAAATGTTTTTGTAAATTAGCTATTTCTATAGATTCTTTGTGTGCTTTAAGATACTTCATTAAAAATAACTTAAGCATATAAATGCTTTGATTACTTAGTGAATATTAAAAATCTATATATAAACATGATCATTGTAAATGTATTAAGTATGAAGAGGATATAAATTTTATATTCTCTTCATACTTAGAGGAAAATATTATCTTAAAAAATATAACAATTATTTAAAAAATAATTTAGTATAAAATATAATTAAATATATACAGAGTGTATTTACATATGAAAAACAGTGAAAACATATTTTCGAAGAATATCTATTAAGCAAATTATAGTTAGCATGTTGTTTAATAGTATTTTATAAAAACATTTTATTAATTTAAATATTATTAATAATAATAATAATAAATAATAATAATTTTATTATAAATAATTTCCTTATAAATTTCACGAATGCGGACGGAGTTTATTTTGGTACTGTGTTATGAAGTATTATGTTTCTAAAGTAAGCGCAACTAAAAATAGTGTTATCTTCAATGTTTCTCTGATAACAAATAAAAAAATGTTCTTTAATTAGTTCAATATGAAAACTTTTCGGTAAGATATTTTGTTATTTCTAATTTATTATAAATTGTACAC